CGCAAAAATTGGTCAACTTCAAATTGGTGTATTTCTGTTAAAAATGCATAAAATAACCTGAAATGCTGCATTTGGAAGTTGAGTGTACACACTTACATTTTTTCGCCGAGATTCCAACAGCCGAGCAGTTCTGCAATTTATTTTGTTGAGATTCAGTAAAACAATTGCCGAGACTCAGCTAACAAATAAAATTTTGCTGAGATATCAGCTAACAAAAAGATATTTTGCAGAGATATCAGCAAAAGTAAATGCCGAGGTAATCGGCTGTTGGAGATTTTACCGAGCTAGATTGAGTGTGTATATACAATGGTTGCTATGATGAGTTTTCACCGTTTGCTCTCCAGTTTTCAAAATGACGTCCAAGCAAGAGGAGCAGCGTGTAATCCAACGTTCTCACACGCCAAGTTGGCAAAATTGTTGGATGTGGCCAAATCGACCGTGAAAAACTTTTTGAAAGTGTTTTGGGAGCGTCTGTGGACCGCCAGGAAGCCTGAAAGCGGCGGCAATCGTAATCCGGACGTGACAACGACGACGAAGAAGGTGGCGGTAAAATATAAGCGGAATCCTAACCTCTCCATCCGGGACGTCGCTGGTACGCTCAATGTCTCCCATACTACTGTGCAGCGGGCCAAGAAACGAGCCGGGTTGTCGACGTTTAAGAAGGTGAAGGTGGCGAACCGAGATTAGAAACAAAACACGTCGGCAAAGCAGCGGTCTCGAAAGCTGTACACGAATCTGCTCACAAAGTTCGACCAACAATCAATAAGAAACTATCGATTTGAAATTGGCTAACTACTTGTCTAGCCTATAGGTCCCAAGTAAATCGATTAATGTACCCCATTCTAGTTGGTTGGTTGTCTTTATTAAGGAGATTTTCAGCCAGACGCTGGTTCATCTCCGGCTCATTCTAGTTGAAATTCTAGTATAACACTATGTTTGTTTTGATTCGCTATGAAAGTTTGACAGATAAAATGAGGGGTTCGTGGATTTTCCCATGTTTCGAGGGGTGCATCGATTAGCTTGGGACCGAAGATAGTACCAGAGCTGAGCCAAAAAGCACGAGCACTTTTCGTCGGGACCTACTAGTCTTAGAGTTACCTCTATGGTTCGACTGTGTCGTCATGGAAGACGAAACTTATGTGAAGGCGGATTTCAAGCAGCTCCTGGAACAGGAGTTTCATACCGCATCTGAAAAAGGGAAGGTGGCTGAAATTTTCAAAACCATCAAACTATCGAAGTTCCCTAGGGGCATCCCACTCTAAACTTTATATTTCTCGCGTAATACTCAGAAAGTTCTTACAAATACCTAAGATACCTGGAAATACTTAAAAATACTTAACCTATATTTTGTATTATGTTGTTACCACCGTTGCTAAACACATTTTAGTTGTTTATTTATCAGATTTCGTCAAGGATTTTGTGTGAATATTTGAAAACGGCAGTGTTTAAGCTTTAACAGCTATTTTAAATATTTCTTTTTGTTTTGTAGGCATCAAGATACGGTCTTCGAATAAGAGAAGATCATTGCAAAAATGATTCACCTATAAATTAAAGAGGAGAAGAATCGTTAACGGTGGAAAAAAAAACAGCTGATTATTTCTCCAATTTAGAAACGAATTGCATCATTTTCGCATTATACCTGCACTATTAAATATGTCACACTGCGCATTTAGCATGATCCGTTCGACATGTTACAGGAAGAAGTCAGGTCGACAATCATGGAACCTTTCCCTTCGTTGTTCGTTTGGTTTTATCGACCGTTGCGTTATAAGATTAGGTACTTTTCGACCGTTATCATTTGACCATGTAACACTAACTTAAGACTCTTAAAACTATCGAAGAAGTTGTGAAGGTTTTCCACGCCATTGTACTTTTTGCCGAGCTTGTGGCATCTGGAGAGTCGTATCTTGTAGCTTCCCATCGAATGTGTTTATTCTTACGTAAAGTGCCATAACTCTGCGCAGGCCTAATTCCGGGCTGTTTTGAAAATTTCTAAAATAATTAGATATTGTATATAATTTGAATCTTTTTGAACATGATGGTAGGTATTAACTACTTGTGCATGGTAAAAATATACATTTAGATAAACTGTAAAATACTGCAAAATTTTGGCGAAATGCACGGAATTAGGTACTGCGCAGAATTATGGCACTTTGCCGTACATAGTAAACATGTTGTAAATATGAAATACATTTCCTCTGACTTGGAACCATCAATTCTCATCTGTTAAACCATTATTAGAGCTGGACATGATTGATAAGCCATATCTGCTATGTGTTGATGTCGAATCATTTTTTTCATTGATTCTATCAGCTAACAGCTACATTTTTTTTAACTATTTCGTTTACTAGGTTCAGTCGTGTGTGACACTTTGCGGAGCCAAAAATCAGTAATGTTTGAGTTTAAATTTTAAACAGCAGTAGTTCTAGGTTAGTATTGGGTACCAATTACTCGTGGTGGGCTCGAGATTGATGGGTAGCAATTTCCATTGGAAAGAGCTAGGTAGGAGACTGGTTTCTGAAGCCTCCTTCAGATACTACTCTCGGACGGTTGACCAAATCCTCGCTGGGCAGGGGCAAGTAGCACAGAAACAGGAGGATGATAAGACTGGGACACAATGGCTGAAAATTGTTTGGAAGATGGTCACATCAAACTCCAACATCAGACAAACAAAGGAATTCGTAGATCACCTGCATGTAGGGAAGATCACGGGTTCCCAATATGTACATCTCTTACTTCACGGAAGGGTTGTCTACCTCGGGCAAACAGCAACAATTGTAAAACTTAAATTTAATCAATTTATTTTAACACATGACATGTGAATAAATAAGTATCGATTGTTTAATGTTTTAAACAAAAACAACCAACCAATTAGCTTCTTTTATGTGTCGCGTTCTGGAACGATCGAGCTGTATAAGTCTCGCATGAAACGCTTCGATTCAACCGGGATAATCTATTTGCCACTACGGATCAGAATGATAACGATGCTAGTGTTTTTGCAATCCTAAATCACCAGAACCTTGTCGTTGGTGGTTCCACTGGGCAGTTTATGTTCAAATGAAAACATCAACTACTAGCTAAGTGTTAATTAAACTACTTTATCAGTCTAAATTAACTCCATTTTCCGATGTTCCCCGAAAAGCGTATTGCAATCAGTACAATTTTCTACTGCAAAAGGTTCGCTTCATCGTCGTAGTTCGACAGGCAAATGCGCAGCGTAACCCTGGTATCCTTAACCTGTATAGGCATAGCCAAGAACTTATTCTTGTCCATACTTGCACAGCTTGTGCTAACACTCTTGGTTACATTCTTGGGTCTGCCATATCAATTAACGGTTCCTTATTTACTTGGGAATCTATAAAATTGACGGGGCTTACAACAACAACAACAAAAAACTCTCTACGATGGAAATTATGCAAGATGAAAAATACTTAAAAATACTAAAGAATACTTATGAGAGATTTAAACATATTTAATGTATACTAGTACTAAAGTTTAGAGTGGGATGCCCCTAGGAAGTTCCCGAAAAAATATCTCGTCTGGCAGGCCATATGCACGTGTGGTCTAAAAAGCTGCATTTTCATTACTACGGAAACCATCAATCTGCGTCTGCTACCATTCCTAAAGCAACATAATAGACCTGTGCTGTTCTAGCCGGACTTGGCGAGCTGCCACTATGGGAAAAAAAAGGCAATCGAGTGGTACGATGCGAACAACGTGGTTGTGGTACCCAAAGACAACAACCCTCCCAACAGCCCAGAACTCCGCCCTATCGAACGGTATTGGGCCTTGGTCAAACGGAATCTCAATTTAACTAATAAATACATGGAAAACGAGCAGCAGTTTAAATCTAACTGGCGTTCAGCGGCGAATAAGGTGCAAAATTTAATGGAAGGGGTTAAGCGGAAGGCACGGCAGTTCGGATTTGGCAAACCAAAAGAATTAACGAACATTTTTTCCTTTAAATATTTGAATTGAACTACCAATTGAAAAATAAGAAAATTTTTGTGATATGAATTTTGACTGAAAGAAACGATTTTTTTGTTGGTCAATTTTTGCGCGTTTCAGTCTTTACTGTTTAACCCTTGAAAAAGGCCACAATAAACGGCCGAAACGTCGGGAAATGCAAAACTAACTGTTTGGATTACCCTAGACTGAGAACGCCATATAAAAGAAATATAGATCAAAGTTCACCCAAAAAGCAGCTCATGATTCCGTACCGAATCTGAATTATTCCATGGGACTTCGAATTCGAAGTACCTCAAACCTGCTCACCTTACCAGTCAGGCTAAAGCCTAAGTGGTTTTCTTCTGTATTATTTGCAACGATTGTTTGTAAGGGCGGTTTTTCTCGCCATAGGACCATGGTGCATAACTTTGTTTAGAGCCCCACGATGGAACGAGGACGATGATCAGCCACCATTGAAATGGGAAACAGACGCTCGGATAGGTTGCCTCCACCAGCATACGACAAAGGTCCCACCGGGGTTGGTTACCCGATCATTCATATGATTACTCGTACCCCTGTCGGCACCACTGCGATGTATACCTATAGTGAAAAAAATGTCTGGACAAGAGAGTAAGGACCAAATTGGGGTCTATTTTATACCTGTCCAGCCGTTTACCAGGCCTCAAATCTGACATCATTGCATTGCATTGCATTAGCAAGTAAAATTATATGTTTTTCCCCATTTGACCAGCTTCCCAATTTTGGTGGCTGATTGTGTTACGGTACTGTACTGAAATTTACACACTCTTTGAGCATGAGAAACCATGTATCGCCGACAGGTGGATTCATCTATGTAGGTTAATTCAAGAATGTTCGCAGTAATTAGGCTGCCAGTAATGCACAAACTACCATTTGATAACAAGTAAATGCACCATCAGTCTAACGAACACAGCCTTACGGCTACGGTTGCTGCCAATATTTATTACCATCTGTATTAAGTTCTTTTTTTTCGACCGTCTATTTACACTTCCTCTTATCAACTATCTTTTCAGGGTCACCGTGGAATCTTACGTCGTGTGCGTCAGTCAGTGCCCTGGAACTTCGGGGCAGTTAGAGTAGTTTTCAATCTCTTCCGTAAATCGGAAATCGCTCCCGGACATTGGAACCAAACGGGCAACCAAATACGACGTCACCAAATGCAGCGGCAAATTAAGCATCCCACTAGCAGTAGCAAACTATGTGATAATTACCGTCGTTGGCATCACCACGTTCTTCCCTGTGACTGTGATACGGCGTTAGCCGCGAGTTAAGATACTTTTTTTGTTTGTGACTGAATACTAGTGTTTTGTGTAGTAATCATACAACAACAACAACAACAACGAGACGTATGTAGTTGCTGCTGTTTGCACCATTATAAAGAAATCGTGTTTTTCGGTAGTTGGAGCGGTTGTTGTTTAAGGTGTAATCGCGTAGAGCAAGTTAGCTAAGGTGCGAAAACAACGGCGGCGTCATGAAAGTGGGCAAACATGTCGACTGGCTGCAAATACGAGCCCTGCTCCGGAAGGACTACCTCATCCGGATACGACAGCCAGTGAGTATTGATCGATATTCGTTGAGGGTGGACAAATTCCAATTTGAGTTTAATTAGTAGCCATGACCTTAAAGAGGTCGCATTATTGGATGATACACTGTAGATTGCAGTAATTGCTAAGAACTTTCTTCACCACGCATCGTTAGATTGATTAATAGCAGTATAAATGCCAAGCCGTCACTTTGATTAACTGGCACAGTTTTGCTATCAATGTTACGTTGCTTGCTAATTAAATGGGCTGAAAAATTGGTACGTGGGAAGTGCGTACATGAAACAGTTGAAGCTTGACTTTTGACTTTTTGGCTTTGGATTAAGAGATAGTTAGTTGGTAGCAGCTAGTCACTATCTAAAAATAGCATCATGATCTACAACGTGGGGTGTTCAAGAAATTTTAACAGAAAGTTTTGGAGAGCGCCGATAGGCCACTCTGAATCAATATAACCTTTGATTCTTGCGTTTATTTTTGCTGTGAATCACCCAATCCCAAAATTCCTCAAAATCAAAAAAAAAATCCTTAACAAACTACTGAGCAATTAAAATATTTAAAAAGTTTTAATGGGTCTTATAGAGTTCTATTAAATGATCTTAGGTATACCAGCAAATCTCGTTTAGAAATTTCCCGGATTTTTTCCCGTTTATTATCAAGGAATTTTGGAAATTTTCCCGGATGTGATGTACATTTAAATTAAGCATGAAACCAAATGCTATTGAGCCGAAGAGATCACTACTTTAGATGAGAGTCATTTCTAAGACATCAGGATTTTTCCTGGTTCTTGGATTTGGTTATGCGGCCGAATTCTTCAAAATTTGTCTATGAAAATTCAAATAAAACATTACAGGATTTTGCAATTCACCCATGCAATTCACCTCCGAGATCTACTCTAAATTTTTCTGAAAATCCACTTGGAATTCTCTTTAAAATTATTTTCGTAATTCAATTGAAATTGTGCTCGGGATTTCCTTAAAACTCGTCGCATAATTCCTTTGGTATTATTTTCTCAAAATTCAAATCCCTTGGTGTTTTTCACGGACTCGGGAATTCTCTTTACAATCACCATGGACATTTCCACAGAGCTTCTTAAAGAATCCCACGCATCAATTAAGCTTATCGTTTTCCAAATCCTGCTGCAAACCCAACCCTCTTACCTAACACCGCAGGGATTTCTCGTGGAAGTGCACAGGATTTCTCGGCTTTCATCAAAGCGAGTAATAGCGTATGCGTGATAATGTTTGCACCATTGAGCAATGCCAAAATTAAAAAAAAAAGATTCTCAAAAATTTCGTTTTCGAGTTTTTTTTTTTATTTATTCAAAGGGGGGATGTTTCTCAGAGTCTTCAACTATGTTAATCATCGATCGACTTGCCACTTGCTGCAATTACGGTCTCCACATGCTTTCGGAATGCACGGCAGGTTCTAATAATGTATTCTGAATCCATTTCTCTCCAAGTACGGGTCAATGTTTGTCTGAGGCTTGCTGTACTCGGGTGGCGTTTAGAACAGGCCTTGGCCTTCATGACGCGCCATATTGATTGAGTAATCCAGCGGATTAAGATCGGGGCTGGATGGCGGCCACATATCCTTCGCCCAGAACGGAACATGTTCCTGCAACCACTTCTGAGTGCGGTTCGAGGTGTGGCTCGGAGCCCCATCTTGTTGAAATACAACATTTGGCTTCGGACCGTACTGTTCTTTGATCCACGGAAGAACATACTTACTTAAAATCCCGATGTAGACCTCCGTGTTGACCTTGTCGCCTTCTGGAATGAACACCGGGTCAATTTTTTTTGCCATCGGAAGCCACCAATCCAAACACCATAACGCTAGCAGGATGCTTGGTCAGATACACGTTCTTGTGCTCGTCGGGCACGTCTTTTACCGGAAGAGAACTAATATGCCGGTCGGTTCTGGAATTTGATACGGGATCGATGGTAAACATGCTCTCTTCGGTGAACAAGATTACCGGATTTTTTCGCTTAAGGAACTTCAAGATTTTCTTGCATCGTTCGACTCGTAGCTCCCGGATGCGGTTGGTAATCATGTGAGTTTTTTTCCGTGCCCGCGACTTCGCCCCGCAATCTTCCTTTACGATCTTCCGTGCCGTAAAGTCACTGATCCCGTGTTCCTTTGCCATTTTCCTTATTGAACGCACTGGATTCACCCGAATCTTCCTTTTGATAGCAGCGATAACCCTCGGAACCCGAGCTATCCTCGGACGACCTGTGGCCACCTTCGCGGATAGTTGTCTTTTCTTTTCTCGGTCTAAAACCCTTTTGACGGGCCACCGGGACACTCCCACGGCGATTGAAATGACTTTTTGTGACATTTGCGCGTGGGACAAATCACGAATACACTGCCACTTCGTCATGGTGCAGCAGTCAAACTAAGTAAATCATTTTCTTTTGTACACAGCCTACTACGGTATGAGCTATAGGTTACGTGTATGCAAAGAAAACCAAGGCATTGTATGCACAGGTGAAACGGGAACCTTATTTTGTACGATGATGCAAACATTATCACGCATACGGTATGTCAACACATTCCTACCCATTCCTTTCTTAACCAGCATTCTGACGTTACCGGCGCTGGTATTGCCTAGATGATTGCTAGTCTCAAGCAACGTCTATTGGTTCACTGTGTAATAACAGTTGATCTGGCAATAACGGAGTAGCAACCGTGGGCAATCAAGCAAGAGAAAGCACTTGCGGGTAGGTTTTAAGAATTCATTAAGCACTGTGGCCAGAATAGTCCTCCGGAAGATCCGGTGCATTCGTAAAAGCGGTCAATTATTGAAACTGATGGTGAATATGGCATTTTGGCCAAAATATGGACCCTGGAGGCCACAGACTGTCGTCTGAAAGATCCGGAACATCTGTAAAAGTGGTAAATTCATTAAACTGGTCCTAGAGCTGTGGTGTTTTTTGGGAAAGTAATCATTGATGTGTTGAATATGCAGCATGGATGCCACATACTGGTCTTTCAGAAGATCCGGAACAACCGTAATAGTGGTCAAAACATGAAACTGGTCCTAGGGTGCCGCGTTTTTATGTGAAAGCACAGACAAACAGACGTAACACTTCATTTGGTATCTTCGTTCACGCATTTAACGGTTGATTTGAATATTATCAGTTCCGCGAACTACTCGCCGCAGCGCTGGCATCGGATCACTTTGACGTTTCTATACATTCTATAGAACTTTTATGCAATATTGTTTGCGAGTTAGCGAGCAATCTTGTTTTCCGCGAGAAGCCAGAGAGATGTCGTTACTGAGGTCTTATGTTTTGAGATACTATGTTTTCAAGAAAAACTTGTTCAAAGTGTTACGTCTTAGAGGAAGGACAGCTCCAAGTATCAGCATCAATACCGATGGTGGAAATATTAAATATTTCAATATGTGTGATATTTGCGAATCTTATACTTAGTCTAACAGTTGTTTTTTTGCTTTTGACTATTTTTGGTTTAAAGTATACATTTGACATTCGTTTAATCAAAAATGGATTCCACACAAGAGGTAAATCATTCCTTGATGATCTTGTTGGCCACTGCACCGAAATCCTCTCCTTGTTCTCCGTTACCAGGAAATAGTTAATAATTTCCACGAATTCTTCATCGTCTGCGAACTTATGTGCTGTCCTCCAATGGAACGGGAATCGACTGACTACGCTAACCCTGTAAACGAAGTCCTAGAGTGATGGTTCCGTGGTCGTATTACGCTAGCTTCGCCATGAGCCTGCAAATTGGAGAGATTTGCTGCTGGGGGAACATCCAGAGCCGTTTTTATCATCAAAAGCCGAAATCGATCAGAACTATCGATAACGAAAATCTAGGCAACAATAAAGACAAACAGAAAGCTGCAGTAAACATAAACAATCGATGCAACGTCATTGAGTGCATGCGTTAAAGTTACACTGTTATTTTTTTTACTTCGAAGCTTTCCAATTGACACTTAATATCATTAATATTTATACTAAAAACTATAATAACTATATATAATTTACACTAAATATTACTTCAGATCAAGTGTACTTCCCCTAGATTACGTCTCATTTGCTGGTGATTTTTTAGAATAAATTTGGCATTTTGATCAGAATATGGGGTCACAGACTCGTCTTCCGGAAGATCTGGAACATCCGAAGAAAAAGTGGTGAATTCATGAAACTGGTCCTAGAGCTGCGTGTATTTTTTTTTTTTGCGGAAGCGCATTTGTTGTGTTGACCCCTGGGGGCAATATACTGGTCCTATGCAAGATCCGGAACATCCGTAAAAGTGGTCAATTCATGTAACTGACCCTAAAGATGCGCGTTTTTGTTTACGAAAGCACTTGTTTATGTATTGTACAAATTTGGCATTATCGCCAAAATATGCACCCTTAGGGGTCACAGGACGATTCGGAACATTCATAAAAGTGTCCAGTTCATGAAAATTTGTCTAGTACTCCGTGGTTTTTTGCGAATGCGCTTGTTGACATGATGTCAAAATGAATCTGGCACATTATTTTGATATAAGTGTTTTCATTTCCCAGTTTTTTCTAGCTACCCAGGAATTGGGAAACGGTTTCGAAAATGTGTAAAGTAAATGAGAATAAAAGATTTGAAACAACACACACCCCTCATTCTGATCATAAATGGGTTTAAAGTGAAAGTGGAACATCGGCTGGCCTTGAAAGTTGCAGAACTTTCCTGAACTTCATCAGTACTTCCCTAAAATTCAACAGGCCTTCCCTGAACTACGGCAAGACTTCCCTGAACTTCAGTAGGACTTCCCTGTCCATCAGCAGGTCTTTCCTGAACTTGGAATTTTTGCATTGAAGTTTTCAGTAGAATTATAGAATATTCGGTAGAACTACTCTGAACTTCAGCAGAACTTCCCTGACCTTCAACAGGACTTCCCTAAGCTTCGGAAATACTTTCCTGAACTTCGGCAGGCCTTCGCTGAACTTCGGAAGGACTTTCCTGAGCTTCGGCAGGACTTCCCTAAACTTTGGCAGGACTTTCCTGAACTT